TATATTATTAATTTATTGTTGTTGTTATTGTATTAATCTGGACAAATTTGTATTTATTTATTTAACGTTTTAAATGAGTGTGTCTAAGTTAACTCTAACCACACCCTGATCGGGAATTAATTTCTTAGTGCGTCCAAAATATCGCTCTAAATATTGACACGTCGTCATAAGTGTGGGTGCGTGTAAAACAGGGCAGGTCTGATGTACAAAACGCCTGCAGGAACTACGGATTTAAAGTAGGATGTCTAAAACCCAGTGGAAGACATGAACACAGTTGTGTGTATGTGCTCAGAACAAGTATCACCAGAGAACTGTCGAGGTGAACCTTTCGGAATGAAGAAAACATTCGAGAGGACCGGAGCAGCACAAACTTTGCGTCGCCGACCTCACGAGGAACTTTAACGCGACTGTTTCAGAAAGTCATTTGAATCGAAAGCTCTAGTGGGTCGAATATGCCTTTGAGTGTAAAACCGCAGAAGTTTGCCTGGACAGCAGAGTTTAGTTTAGTCGAAATGTTGCCACGCAGTCGTTTTTGAGTTCGGAATGCCCTTCTGTGGATACATTCACACACTCAGTGTTTTGCATTCACTAACAAGTTTGTGTGCACTCAAATTGTTTATTTACAGCAGTCGCGAGGGGAATGAACATCGTCTGTAAGTCCAGGTAATTCACAATCAAATCCCGTTTTTATTATCGCGATAGCTTAATAACTCCTGTAACCACAGCGACAGAGTGGTTTCACTTTAGTTCTGCCGTTCATTTCTTGCAATTGTCGTGGGTTCTCTACTATGTTGTTAAAACCTGATTCCATTTTAACCCGCTGCGTTTGTTCCTTCTTGGCCAACATATTTAACAGAAATCATATCTCTGTTTCTGATTTGTTTGCGACTTCTTAATTTCAGGTAGTCGCCTCCGTTTTAGAATGTGGAATCCGTCTTTCAGTACTGAACTGAACGTGAACTGAAAAGACTTGGAAAGACTTTCTAGCATTGAAATAATGAGGTTTAGGAAGTATTTAAGAGGCAGTGGGAGGGTCTTGGCTTTTGTGTTTATCGCATCTGTAATCTGGCTCCTTTTTGACATCGCAGCACTGCGGATATCCATCGATGAAGCGAATCAGGATCTCAAAGAGAGAGAGATTGTACTAAAACAGGGAAGGAGGAAAGACAATGTAGAGGATGTGCTCAAACATCCACTGCAGAAAGTAAACATAGACAAGAGGGATTTTTTACAAAATAGCAACCGGTTTGAAAGGAAAGTTGATCAGGTTTACAGAAAGTGGCCAAAGGCGAGACCAGAAAATCAAAGCAAAGTGAATCTAAATGTGAACGGAACAATTATTAGCATCCCTGAAAAGATAAATGAGACAAAAGCTGTTATTTATGGCAAAGTGAGCAATATAACTGCAAACATGAACAAAATAAAAGCTGCTGTTAGTGGACAGACGGAAGCAAATCTGCATGTTAAGGCACATTTACTTACTAAAGCACTGCCTGCTGTCCAGGAGAAAGCGCATCCTTCTGTGCTCAAAGAAAAGAGTGTGAAAAAAGTACATCACATTAATGACACACTAGCGATGTCGCAAAATGAAGTACGTGTAGATGTTGGTTTACAAAAGAACTTGAGTAATGAATTGCTGAAACCAGCAGAGAGGGATAAACCGAAGAACATTCTTGACCATGCAGTGAAACATGTCAGTGCTATCAACAAAACGAAACCAGATATTATTCAAAAACTAAGTGAACTGAAGGACCCAGCAGAGGAGGCATTACAAGTACTGCACTCTACAAGTGTGCAGGTGAGGAGGTCAGGAGGTCATCATAAGGTTATGGCCCTAGATGTAACAGACAGGCCCAGAGATCCCAGCGCTGTGGGACAGTTTGGCCAGCCTGCAAGTGTTCCCAGAGATAAAGAACTGGAGAGTCGAAGACGCTGGAGTGAAGGATTTTTTAATGTATTCCTGAGTGAACAGATCCCAATAGACAGAGCCATCCCAGACACCAGACCTCGAATGTGAGTGTGAACCATAATTCATTTTGTTGTAGTCCTGCAGGTCATGGCAAATTTTATGTTATAGTAAGAACACGTACCACTGATACAGTATATGTGTAACCACTCCATATCCTGTGTTGTTTAGATGTTCAGAAAATCTTGTGCATGATGACCTGCCCAGTACCAGTGTGATCTTCTGTTTTGTGGATGAGGTTTGGTCCACTCTGCTGCGCTCGGTGCACAGTGTGCTCAACAGGTCTCCTCCACACCTGCTGAAAGAGATCATTCTGGTGGATGACTGCAGCACCAAAGGTAGGGCTGGACAATAATTCAATATCAATATGTATCACGATATAAGTTTTTTCAATAACGGTGATATGATTTTTAAAAACATTTCCGATATTTCGATATACATTACCAGTGTTTCCCATACATTGATTTGTTTGTGGCGTTTGACTTCGTTGAATAAACATGAGCACGGCACGTTTCAAAATCAAAACACGTGCGGGTGTTTTATATGAATGTATCTCTGATGGGAAAAGTTTCGATGGCTTTTTAATTTTATCTGATAAAGAAGCGTTCATGAGCTGAGCTGATTTGATTACAGCCGTTACTGGAGAAACCGCTAGTTCTACTGCTCTCAAAGCGCCTCCTGCTGGCAGACAATCAGTTTGCATTTTCAATAAGCCTGTCTCCAGCAACATGTTTTTGTTGTAGCTCTTTTTTTTTTCTGCAGCAACTCGGAGCACTTTTCAT